ACATGCGTCCGCGGATAATCAAACATCAGCGCCATGGGATCATCGTCACCCCAACATACTAATACTATGTGTGCGTCGCCCCCCCAGGGGCGGCCTATTACATGTTCGGGTCGGACGCGCGCCTCCAAGGAGGACGTACAGTATCAGCATGTCTCTGTGCGTCTCATGGGAAGGGATGGGAGGGAGGGAAAAGGATGTCAGCTGAGGCGCGAGCGCACCCAGCTTGCCTCCCCCGCTCCTCCCTCCCCAACAATCAAGGTATTGGCATTTCGTGGCAACGCTGCGCGATGTAGCATGACATGTGGAGTGATGCAGCATGACATGTGGAGTACTTTAGAGGATGGATTTGTGACACAGTGACCATGTCGAGCCTTATGTACTGCACATGCATGTCTTTTAGTGTTTCTTCCACATCTGTCAGTGCAGTGTAAGCCAGTCGTTCCCATGTGAGGGACTGCGTGTCCCACGCGCCTGCCCTCTGCGAGGACCGCCCTTGGGGGCTGGAATGCGGGCCTGTCTGTCTGTCTGTCTGTCGTCCTCCCTCCCCCCCCCTCCGCCTCTGCGGCACCGGCCCCCCGTGCCGCCTGTGCCCGCGGCCGCCGCTCGCACGCCAGCCGCGGTCGCGGCGTGGTGGTGCCCAGCCAGCTGCTCGAACACGCGGCTATGGCCCCGCCCTCGATGATTCTTCCTCCTCCTCCTTCTCTGCCTCCTCCTCCTCCTCCTCCTCCTTCTCCTCCTCCTCCTCCTCCTCCTCCCCCTCCCCCTCTTCCTCCTCCCCCTCATCCACCTCCTTCTCCTCCTCCTCTTCCTCCTCCTCATCCTCTGCCCATCGAGCACAAAAGAACCCCTATCCTTGATGACACGATGAAGACGCGGCCTCGCTGAGGTCCCCGTTATCGCATAAGGAACAATCGATCTGGGCGGTCTGGTCTGATACATCTGCAGAAGAAGCCCCCTATCCCTAACGTTTTTTGCCCTCCTAACTGAGGTCTCCTCCCAAATGGTTAGGGGTTCCTCTTGCGTTAATCATCTGCCTCGGTGGAATCGGGGAAACGTAAGATTCGAGTGCGCTGGAGATCGGGTGTGCCGACGTTTTTGGACGGGCCGTTCTCTGACTTGTGACGGTCTTTCTTTTCGTGGGCTGTCTGCAGCGGGAGCTCGCGTCAAGTTTCAGGCTGGGTCTCGTCATTTCGGATGATGGCTTTGCCGGGCCGAGCCCAGGTCCCCCGAGCCCGAGTCTGACGTCTCCCCGACGGGCGGCGGCGGAAGGCCGGAGGAAGGCGGCGGAAGCGGAGCGCGGCCGCCTCTGCCGGCGGAAGCACGGATCGGCCTCCCCAGGAGCTGGCAGGGTCTTCTGTGCAGGGTCTGCGGCGCCCGCCACGTGTCAGGAATCGTAAGACTCGAGGACGCCGGAGCTCGGGCTTGCCGACCGTTTCTGACGAGCGCGTTCTGGACTTTGGCGGTCCAGTTTTCGTGGGACGTTCGCAGCGGGAGCTTGCGTCGAATTTCAGACTGGGTCTCGTCATTTTCATGATGGCCTGGTCGGGCCAACCCTCCCGAGGGCCCCGACCCCGAGTCTTACGTCTCCCCGCGCGTGGCACGGGGGCCGCGGACCAACGAACGGACGAAGCACGAACGGACGAAGTACGAACGGACGAGCCACGAGCCACGAGCCACGAACGGACAAACCACGAACGGGCGAACGGGCGAACCGCAGGGGGAAGCCGCAAACGGACGAGCCACGAACGGAAAGGGCTCCGCGGCCCAGTGGGAGGAGGCCCGGGACGAGCCACGAACGGACGAACCAATAACGAACATTCTAGGCCGCCTAGATGGGGTCGGAGTAGATGGGGTTGGAGGATCGCGCCGCATCGCCGATACATCGCAGATGTGGCTCGATGTGGGTCCCGAGCTCCACATCGACGTCGCCGATGCTTCGCCGACGTCGACGCTGCATCGCCGAAGCATCGGCGATGCATCGCCGATGCATCGGCGATGCTTTGGCGATGCGGCGCGATCCTCCGCCCCCATCTGCTCGGACCCCATCTAGGAGGCCTCTAGGAACGAACATGCACAGGTCTGGGTTCAGAGCGCAGCAGCGCAAGGGAGTCAAACTTCTGGCCACGGTGGCTCCAGCTCGCAGCGCGGCGGCAGGAGGAGGAGGAGGAGGAGGAGGAGGAGGAGGAGGAGGAGGCGGAGGCGGAGGCGGAGGCGGAGGAGGAGGAGGAGGAGGGGGAGGAGGAGAGGATGAGGATGAGGAGGAGAGAGGAGGAGGAGGGAGGGGGAGGAGGAGCTGGCAGGCCAGAGCGTACCGCGGGCTGGGAAGCGAAGGGGCCTCCGTCGGTCTCTCCGCCCCCGTGCGCGAGAGGACCCGACCTTCCAGCAGAAGACGGGCGAGCCCCCGCCGCCGGAGGAGTGGCCCGCGCCGAGGCCCGTGAAGGACCACGGCAAGGGCAAGGGCGCCTCGAAGGGCAAGGACGCGCGCCCCCCTCCTGCTCCT